TTTCAGAACAACAACAGCAAAAACTGAACAACAAAAAAACGGAATCAATTGACGTATGAAAGCGCTTTTTACAATATGCCTTTACGATTAAATCGCCAATATCAAGTGGTGTAAATATTTAAATTAATTCTTGAATAAAAAATAAATAAAAAGGTTGAAGATGCATCTTGAAGATATTAAAATTCCAAATCGATTAAAAAAATGTGTTACTATGGCAGCAAAACGAAAATTATTTCTATTGTGCAAATTGATTGGAACAAAACGAATAATTCCGTTATTATTTACTTTTATCGTATTTTTCCAAAGAAACATGACCCAGTGCACATTTTAGTACTTCGTATGTGCATTCCACGAAGTCTTTCCTTGCAGATTGACCACAGATTGTCGATTGGATTTAAATCAGGAGAGTTTCCAGGCCAATCTATAGAGCTTTGATTTGCTCACTGGTAAGTTTTGTCATTGTGTTCGCGCAGCGTTACAATCTTCGTATGCTTCCTTGGAGCAACATCCATCACAGACAATGGCCATAGGACAACTAATCGACAGTCGAGACAATAGTGTCTAGGCGTGATAAAAATCTGATGCAATCACGGAAGGCGCAATATTTTTCAAGGCCAAACAAATTTCATTTAGATTCATATTACAGCACTGCAAATGACCTAATCTGGGAAAAAAATAGATTGTCATATTAAAACTGTTTCAATTAATTTGCACAGCATTGCAAATATAAAATCTTATAAATACAATTTTACCTGAATTCATTGGCAAAAATAATCTAACACTGTTATCACTGATATTTCGATAGGAATTATCCCACTGACGTAAGGAGAATGTGAACCTTATCACCATAAAATAATGTCGAACAAACAATTTCAGTTAAGCGTAAACTTAATTGAGATTATTCAGTGTGGAAAAAATGTAATTTCGATTGTTTTTCTTTTCAGCAAAGATAAGATTTTGGAATTTGGTCGATAGACACTAATTAAAAAAAGTATGAGATATATGATTATCTTGTTTAAAATTAACCAACTTATTTGCTTTAATATTGTTTAATACAACTTGTTATAGTAAATGGCGAAAACATCGACTCTTCTTCAGAGACCAGTCGCGTTCTATTCTTTATTTATTACAACGTTTGCATACAGCACGTGGAATCTTATATGGGGCCCCACTTCAATTCACCATAAATGTTAAGAATGAAATCGAAATGAATTATGCATTTGAATTAGTGTCCATTACAAGTTCGCATTGTACTTTTGCATTTGAACTTTAAAATGAAATCAATTTAAATAATTGGTTGATGAGTAGAATAGAAGTCTGAAAACATAGATCTACATTCAATAAAATACGATATACTATTATGCATTATATATACTATATATATATTATTATGTACTATATATACTATATATACTATTATGTATTATACATACTATATACATTATTATGTATTATATATACTATATATACTATTATGTATTATATATACTATATATATTATTATGTATTATATATACTATATATACTATTATGTATTATATATACTATATATATTATTATGTATTATATATGCTATATATACTATTATGTATTATATATACTATTATGTAGTCTACAATTTCATTGTGTCGATCAGTAATTTTTAATCTCAATTAAATTGGTGCTTGTGTTGACAACGGCATAAATATCAGATTGAATTGTGAATCGAGTGAAAGAAACTAGTGTTTGGAAATAGTAGTTTACCTTGAGAGGCTCTCGGGTCTAGTACTGGGTGAAATTTAGTATAAACCACCCAAAGGATTATTTAGTTGGCAATTTCTAACAATTTAAAAATGAAGAACAACACCCGTTTCAAACTGCATAATATATCACGCTTTCCGTCTACTTCGACGTGGGGGTGATGTTTAGCAAGCTTGTTCCGTTAGATCAATTACGACTGAGTAGTGAGTTCGATCCTCACTGGGTTCTCCATACTTGAGCCTTGTGCCATATCTAAGTTATGCTTAGAAAATAACTATCAAGCTCTCATATATGACAGAAATTCCAACTGTCACTTTTTAATTCTAAATATCAGTGTCCTTTTTCTTTCAATTTTCCTTAAAGCTTCCTCGTAGGACAAATACATACTCCATGATATTCTCATCATCTTTCTGTAGAGCCACATCTCTTTTGCCTCAAGCCTCCTCGTCATATGTGAGAAAATTGTCCAGCATTCACTGCCATATAGAAAGATTTATGTTACATAGCAGTTTAAAAATCTTCATTTGTTTCTAACTACATTTTTTATGTTTCTTCATACTTTGCTTAACTTTTGGAAGGCAGCTTTCGCTATACCAATGCGCCTACGAATTTCGACTCGCATTTTCTATTGTCTGTTAAACACTTCCCAGATATTTAAATTTTTGTATTTGCTTGATTTTGGTATGTCCAGTTTGTAGTTTGCATATTGGTCTGTTCCTTCTACTGGTAATCAGACTTCTGTCTTCTTAAAGTTGATGTTTAGTTCTTTCTTTTCGCTTTTTTAAAATACATTCTGTTGGAGTTCCTATAGTTTCCTCACTGTGTCCTCTATCGACACTGTGTATTGTGTATATATAAACATTGTATGGATTGTGACATTCTGTATGAGTTTCTGTAGTTTTCCTTATGCGTCTGTCATTAATATGTTACAATCTGCGTATCTTATTTTGTTTCTTTGTTTTGCGGCACATCAACTTTTTATGGGTCACTTAATACCGAAATTTAATTTTCTTGAAAACATTAGTAATTTTTTTTTTTTTTTATAAAGATTAATTTTCAAAAATGCATTGTTGGTAATATTTTTTTTTTTTTTTTACAAAAACGTATTGTTGGTAATTTTGTATTATGAAAATGTATTGCTTGTATTTTTATACTTTCTGAGTTTTGAGTTAACATTCTCCAGCGCCAAAGTGCGGTCTTATCTCAATGAGAGTCTACCAGGAAAATGGATCGGGCGTGCCAGTGATAATGACAATGTGCTCTTCAAATGGCCACCTCGTTCACCTGACTTAACACCTTGTGATATTTTCTATGAGGCTATGTGAAAGTGCAGGTCTATATCCCCACCTCTTCTTACGAACCTAGAAAAACTTAAGCCGAGAATCACTGAGGCGCTGGAGAATGTTACACAAGGCATGCTACAGCGTGTTTAGGCAGGAGCTGGACTACCGACTTGACGTTTTTCGTATCACAGGCGGTGCGCATATTGAACATTTGTGAAGCTTTGTAAAATCAGTTATAAAATCTACATCCTTTTGAATCTCTTGTTCGAATTTTGATAAATAAATCTTTTATTGTTTAACACGAAGTCTATTTAATTTTGTTTGGTTGTGACGGATCTAGGTAAATTGCTCAAAATCAATTGCTCGAAAAATAATTTCTCAAACTATCAATTGCTCGAAAGGCAGATTGCTCAAAGTAATTTCGAAGCTCGAACCACCACGTAAACTGCGTCGTCTCACGACACGTAAACTGCGTCGTCTCACGACACATAAACTGCGTCGTCTCACGACACGTCAACAGAGCTGGATATAAAAGGAGCCACAACACTCAACTTTAGCAGTCCTGATTTTTTTTTTTTTATATTTGTTTACTATTTCTATTTCAGTCATTTTGGAGATCTCGAACCCTAGTGATGGACATAACTTTTGTTGAGAGCGAAAAAGGAAAGAAGAAGTTGTGTTTGGATGGATATATCTATATATTAAGGACAAAATAGTGAACAATAAGATTTACTGGAAATGTGAAATGTGCAAAAAAAGGAAATGCTTAGCATGTGTTTTATTTTTTTTTAACCACAGGTTTCGAGCAAACTACCTTTCGAGAAAAAAAAAAGGCCTGCTATATAAATATACTCGTTCTTTAATTTTAACTGTTCAGTTAACAACAATAAAGTTGTATTTTTTTATCTTATAGTAAATATTAGAACAATGCAGTTTTATTTTTTTAACCATAGGTTTCGATCAAGCTGCCTTTCGAGTAACTGATAGTTCGAGAAATTATTTTGATTTCAAGCAATTTACCGGATACGGGTTGTGACATGTAGTTACTCAGATAGTCACATTTTAAATAGTGTCAATCTTTTGGGCACACCAAGTATTTACCAAGGTAATATTAGTCGGTATAAACCAAGATAATATTACTACGACTAATCCTACTAAGAATTGATGTATTCATAAATTTTGCTTTACAGGAAAACGATATATAAATTTTATAAACGATATACAGGACGCGTCATAAACACCTCCCATATAATGGTAAAACGTTAGTGGCAATGGTATCCCCATCTACACTAATATCTTAACATTATGTGCTAGGTATTTCTGTGGAAGGTATTTTTGCCGCACCCTGAATAAATTTTATTGATTGATAGATTCGTTTTCTACGGCTTATCAACGCTTTGCAGGATATTTAAAACCAAAAAATATGTTTAGATTTTAAGAATTTTTTATTTAGTGATAATAATGGTTTAGTGATACAAGTCTTACTAATTAACCCATAGCTGGAGGAGAAGAGGTCGATTCAGACCTAATCAGAATTTGATAAACAAAAAAGAAATTATAATGTGGATATATAATAGGGGATCAATTCTATATTACAATCAACACATAAAGTGATCCCTCAATTCGTGGCCATATTAGTTTCTATACATTTATATTCCAGATAAAGTAAATAAAACTAAAATACATGCCTATGTAGTTAATCAGTATTTCATCGATTGATTGATTTGTTTTCTACGGCTTATCAACCTTTTTTAGGTTATTTAAAGCCAGAAAATATTTTTAGATCGTAAGAATTTTTTGTGGAGATAATAATGATTGAGCAATATAAGTCTTACGAATTAATCCATTCCTGAGGGAGGAAAAGGTGGATTCATGCCTTTCCTAAGGGTGAATATAACGAAGCCAACTAGAATTGGAACTTGGCTCTCTGATTAACAATTCCAAACCATTATCCAATTCACCACCTGCGCATCCAAGCTTACAGTAGCTGGTATTCTCAAGCGATCCCCCATCTAGGTACTGACGATGCTCGATCTTGCTTAACTTTGGTGGTCGTACGGGAATCGTGGTTTCAACGTGATATTGACGTAAGCCATAAATTTTATAAACACACTTTATAAACGAGAAAATCAATTTTAAAAACAAAAAGAAACTAAATGAAATTGCCTTGACTCTATACTAAAAACATATATTAAAAACAATTTAAGTTTCAGGGTTTACTTTCCTTCGTGTCTATGTGTAGCCGTATCAACATAAACATACCTTTAGTCTGATGAAGTCCTAAAGGAAACATGTCACGCGAAAATTTTTTCCATTTCGTCATAGATTTTCTTAAAAGTGTACTTTTTCTAAATTACCGTTTGGAAATGTCTTATTGCTCTCGTAGTGTACGTTTTACTTTGCTACAACGACGCCATCAAACAATGTCACCTGATTAATACTAAGCCACCAGCGTTAAATTATCCATGTTTGTCCGAGAGGGAACATCACTAGGATGAAAAAAAGCAGACGAGTTAATTTACATAATCTCGTGATGTTTAGCGATTGTTCGGGATTTGAAGCGTTACTGACGTTTCTGGAAATAATCATGGCTCGCTCGATTACTGCCGCACGAGTTAATTAGCGATGATTATCATTACAGATTTGCATGGCAAAGAAAGAGGGTGAGAAAATTGGGAATGTAAAAGGAAATTAGGTTTAGACTTGAGAAAAAAGATGTGATTAGATAAAATTATGAAATGTGAAGAAAAGAAACGAGAGAAAAAGGCAGAGATGGGCCTCTACTGGTCTCCATGATTGCCTTGAATATCTACAGCTATGTACTGTCTATATTTCTGAGATGAGGTATTATGTACACTATTTACATTATTCGACTATTGTCCTCATCTTTGTTGCCATATTTGCCAAAACGTTTCGGCCGTTGTACGCTCCGGACTTCTTCAGGTGGTTGGAATGTCGAACTGAACCCTTTATTTCGCTTAAGGAATCAGCATATATGCTAGGCCACAAAAATCTCCTGAGCCGACCAAGCATAGAAATGAATACAATATGGGAACCAGTAATAAGGAGTGTCAGAGAAAAGCGATAATAATAACCTTAATTGCAATATGAACTCTGTTAAAAATATGAAATTATAAAAGCAAAAATTGCAATATGAGCACTGGTAAAAAATGGTTGCTGAGGACATTAGGTTTATAATACCCAGAAATTCACACACAGTTGTCCTTAAGGACACATGGCACAGTGGATGAAGGTGTTAGATACAGTGACAGGATGCAAAGAGTGTGAGTTCAATACCTGGTGAAGAACGTGGAGAAGGGAATTAACAGGAGATAACTAATAATTGACATCCATTAGACATGGCACGTGGAACTAGAACAGTCTACCACAGCGAGCGAAATAAAAGGTTGAGTTCGACATTCCAACCGGAATCTACAACGGCCGAAACATTGTGATAAATATGGCAAAAGATAAGGACAATAGTCCGAATAATGTAAATAGCTATGTACTGCTTAAGCAGGGGTTATGGGGAAGTTGTTTGCACCTACTGGCTTACTTGTCGACCATCGTGGTACATCAGAGACAAAACATTTAGATGCATATCGCTTAACGTTGACAAAAGCATGACAATTCTCTGTCAGGTTGCTATACTGTTCTTGTTGGTATCAAACCCTCAAAGTTAAGTATTATTATTATTTCCTTTGATTTCTGTTGTATACTCATTTCCTTCCGGGTCCCAACCAGTGACCTAAGGTCAGAAATGGCATCATGAGGTTTTCCTCTAAACATTTTTGTAAAAAAAACCCAAAACAAAACAAATAAAAAACAAACAAAGAAGTTAAACTCACACAGATTTTACATAGATAAAGCTCTTCGTAAGGTGTGAGCTGTACTGTTTAGTACAATTTTTTTGTATTTCTTTAAGGCATGGGTTAACAGGGATCCTTTCACTGAGTCTATCGAAACATTTTCCAATCAATCCGAGGGCTCCAACTACAAATGGAATTATGGATGTCCTCATGTGCCACATTTTTGAGATTTCCATTTCAAAAGTTTTGGATTTTTGTAGTTTTTTTTTTAAGATCTTCAGCAGTACATTAGTCTACAGGGTCTGCCATGTCAACAAGAAAGCAAATTCTGTTCTCGGGATCTTTTCATCACGATGTCTGGGCGATTAGCTTTGATTGTTCTATTTGTGTGTATTTTAAAGTCTCATAAAATTGTTACAAGTCCTATCTCGGTAACCGGCTTTGGGTGATGTTCATACCAATTCTGGGTAGTTTTTTTCCCGTAATAGTTACAGATTTTCCAATGTAGATATTCGCCCACTCTATCATGCCGAGTTTTATGTCCGGTGGGTGCTAATACCGCCCATCCTCATAGCATATGGTCAGTTGTTTCTGGATATTTATCACAGAATCTGCACTTTGGGTTAACAAAGTTTTTCAGCATGCGTACTTGGGAATTTCTAGTTAACAAGCATCAGTCCCGTGCAGTAATCCTGCACTACGAAACCCCTGGTGGGTATAGTTTTTGTCTACATCAACTTGTTTGGCAGGGACGGTGTATTAATCATAAAGAGGCTTATCTTGTCATCGTTTTTGCATTCGGTCCATTGCATTTCTTTCTTTCTTTCTTTTATATCTTTCTTTCTTTTTCTTACTTTCTTTCTTTCTTTCTTTCTTTTTTTCTTTCTTTCTTTCTTTCTTTCTTTCTTTCTTTCTTTTATATCTTTCTTTCTTTCTTTCTTTTATATCTTTCTTTCTTTCTTTTTCTTTCTTTCTCTTTCTTTTTCTTTCTTTCTTTCTTTTATATCTTTTTTTCTTTTATATTTTTCTTTCTTTCTTTCTTTCTTTTATATCTTTTTTCTTTCTTTTATATCTTTCTTTCTTTTTCTTTCTTTCTTTCTTTCTTTCTTTCTTTCTTTCATTTATATCTTTCTTTCTTTCTTTTATATTTTTCTTTCTTTCTTTCTTTCTTTCTTTCTTTCTTTCTTTCTTTCTCCTTACTATTTCTGAGTAATACTGAGGTACAAATATACAAATCCCAATATATCCATCATTCCACCCTGTTTCATAAGGGTATATCGGGCACATGCGTTACAGCCAAATAATGTGTGATATGACGACAGGTTTTGATAAAAGCAGCACATAACCTTACAGATGGTCTTCCGTTAGTATTACCCTCAGATCGAGTAATCGAATTTACTCAGACAGTTTCCATTGAGGACCTTCTTATCTAGATGTGACTCTCAAGCCGCCTTGACTGCCTCATACTTGTGTCACTAGTGGACCTGCTTAACTGCTTAAGTCCAGACAAATGATAAACAAATATATAGCACTGACAAGAGATATTTTGCTTCGCTTTGTCCGTTCTAGGCCCTAATCTGTTCCTTATTTTCATTAACGATCTTCCTGATATCATAGGTTCCCAAGTAGGCATCTATGCGGACAACACTACTATTTACTCCTGCCTCAAAAAAAGATCTAGTGTCGCCGGCAAAACTAACCTGGCCGTTTGTCTCGAAAAGAACCTCCAATCGGTTGTGGACTGGGGCAGGAATTGGTTGGTTAACTTTAATGCCTCGAAAACAAAACTGCTCTCTATTACTCACCACAGAGAACCATCCCTGCCCTCCATTAGAATGTCTGACGCTCAACTCCACGAGAGCACCTCTTTGCGACTGTTCGGACTCACATTGTCCGCTGACCTGAGATAGAAGAAATACATTGAGTCAATAGCTTCTTCCACCGCTAGGAAAGTCGGCTACCTGTGCCGCGCCAGGAAATTTTTCTCGTCGGAGTAGATCCTTCAAATCTACAAATCAACTATTCGCCCTTGCATGGAGTATGGCTGCCATATATGGTCTGGAGCCCCTTCTATTTGTTTCATGGTCCTTGATAAAATCCAAAGACAGATATGCAATGTAATTGGATCTGATCTGGCATCTCGTCTGCAGTCGCTCTTTCACAGACGTGCCGTCGCCTCCCTCTGTCTTTTTTTTACAAATACTTTCACGGTAACTGCTCCTAGGAACTGCTTTCGCTGTTTCCCAGACTTCATGAATTTAAGCGTTCAACTAGGCTGGCATCTCGCTCTCACCCTTTCATTGTCGAAACTGTCAAATGTAGCCGTCTCTTCAACTCCAATAGCTTCACGTCTCGCACCTCTCGCCTGTGGAACTCCTTCCCTATTTCTTGTTTCCCTGATAGCTATAATCTCCAACTATTCAAATGTAATGTCAATCGACGTCTCCAGATGCCCTGATCTTTCCCCTATCCTTCTCTTCATCCTTTCCTCTATCACTCCTCTTTGCTCTCGCTCCAAATCCTCTGTAACCCCTTGCGTGCTAGTGGCTTCCCGCCTTGCTTGGGGTGGAATGCTTAAAAAGTAAAAGTTCGTCTTCATCAAAACAAATAACACCTTAACACCGCTAGTCAATTAAGAGGAAAAGCCATGAGAGCCATGCCTGGTATAGCATCAGGGCATTTATTATTATTATTATTATTATTATTATTATTATTATTATTATTATTAAAAAAAAAGCAAAAGCAAAAAAAAAACAAAAGCAAAAAAAACAAAAGCAAAAAAAAAACAAAAGCAAAAAAAAAAAAAGCAAAAAAAAACAAAAGCAAAAAAAAAAAACTAAGATCACACACGATTTTACGTTGAATAAAGCTCTTCGTAATACGTAAACTGTACATGAGTACAATTTTTGTTTTTTCTTTAAGTCATGGGCCTTCGGGGATCTCTTCAATGAGTCTGTCAGAAACTTTTCCAATCAATTCGACTGCAATTTAAATTATTGATGTCCTCATGCGTCACCTTTTTGAGATTTTCACTTCAAAATCCTTGGATTTTATATTTTTTTGAATATCTTCAACGATACATTACAATCTCTAGGGACAGCCATGTCAGTACATTTTGTCTTCGCGGTCTCTAATCACGATGTTTGGACAATTAGCTTTCATTATTCTGTCTGTGTGCATTGTAAAATCCCATAAAATTGTTACGAGTCCTATCTCTGTAACCGGGTCTGGGTGCGATGTTCATAACCAATTTATTGCGGTTTCTTCCCTGTAAAAATGACA